GGGATGCTGGAAACTGAAGTCCAAAAAACCCCAATCTAACCTATGGTATTTATATTAGAAAGAGGACAAGGTTGCTGGTAAGAAAATATTAAACTTGCCGCTCTGTTTTCACGGAGGATCCGTTCTGCCGCGAAAACGGAAACTCGCCAATATCCAAGCCCCATTGGCTTGAATTGCCGCACGCTCCCACGCAGGTGCCATTTGAACCAATGAGGCTCAGCCCTCTGTGAAGAACCAAGACCATGGACTTCAAGTCCCCAAAAAATGGAGGGGTGAGTGTATTTGCTTGGACTAGAGAGATTCCTCCCTTCTCAGGTTTAGCATACCTGAACGTAAAGGAGGTTGAGCTGAACAGGGTCTCTTGAATCTACGTTCTGGTCGGAATAGAAGAACTTGCGTCTTAGCAGCAGGGTCTCGTTCTCATCGACTCCTTGTTCGCGAAACGTCCGACTGTGGTCCAGCCAGTTTACTGTTGGGAGAAAAAAGAGACAACAAGCCAGGTAAGGCTCACAATCCCAACTCCGTCCTTTTTGCTCTCCCTCCAATGCAAACACGGGGGTCATGCATGCCAGCCATCGTAATAAAACAAGGGCCAGAATCCTATTGTTACTCCCAACTGGAGTAGACCCATTGAATCAAGGAGATTTACCACCATGTGGACTCATCATTCAGCAACGGACTCAATGGGTCTGCTTTGGCTGGGATTAAGAAACCCAATTCCAGCCATTAAGTACAACTTAGCTAAATGGTGTTTCCTTAACTGTTAATAAATTGGCTCAACTATAATCTGAAGCGTCACTAAGGGGGTGCGGACTACACCAGGTGACACCCTAAGGGAGAATGACACCATTGTTCCAATAATAATAATAATAATAATAATAATAATAATAATAATAATTCACTTATATCCCACCTTTCTTCCAATATAGGGACTCAAGGTGGTGCCTGACATTATTCTCTGCAAGATCTGATGCTGAATATTCACAATATTGGTTTCTAGTTTTGGTTTTCACAGCTGTTGGGCTCCAAAAAAACAGGCCGTGTCATTCGCATGCATCCCTTTAAAACCCTTTAAAACATTAACTATATGTTGCAAGCCGGATGTGAGTGCGAGATGCCATTATCTCCTGCTGGAGGGATTTCCAGAGGTTGGAACGCAAAGGAGATGTAAAGGATAATCACCAATTATTTGCTCTCAATGTCAAGATACCCTACCTTTCCTTCATATCAAGACACTACAGCAAGACAGTGCCTAATGCAGTGTTTTTTCCACATTTCATGGCTTTTTAGGGGAAGGGAGTGTGATGTACAAAACTCCATCAGTCTCCACAGAAAGCATTATGCAAAAATCCATGGCTTGGGTTTTTTATTTTGCATGTGAAAAGTCATTGAAAAACAAGTTGAAAATTCTCAGAATCTTTCCCAGTGCAGACTATATATATATATATATATAACATTCAGGGGTAGCTGTGTTGGCCATTTAGCAAATTCAAAGAAAAATCCATCAGTGATACCTTTATTGGCCAACCAAAATGCAGAATATACTTATTGCAAGCTTTCCAATCTCCATGGTCTTCTTCTTCTTCATCAGGCAAGATGTTTGGTTTGTAACATCTTATATGATGAAGAAGAAGCCCATGGAGTTTTGAAAGCTTGCAACAAGTATATTGCACATTTTGGTTGGCCAATATTCATGTATGTGTGTGTGTGCATGTGTGTATGTATACACACAGACACACAAACACACATATATATGAATCACTGTTAAATGGTTTGGGAAAGATGCTGAGAATTTTCATCTTGCCATATATATATATATGTATTACATGCCAGAATGAAATAAATGAAAATGTACATTTCCTCCAACAAAACATTGGAGCCTTCAGTTTGCTTTTCCCACTTTGATACATGGATGCCATTGCGTTCCAATATGGTAAAGGAAATTGGGGGCTCAAAGTACATTACATTAACATTTCTAGATATGTTCTGGGAGGCTGAGTCGAAGAGCATCGGTAGTTTATACTCCAATTTATATATTTATTTCCCTGCCAGCTGCAGATCTGAATAATTTTTGTTTCCTAGGATACCGTAGGACTTGCATCGAGAGCCAGGGGGACTCGGCACATCCCAGATTCATTGCAGCGCTGAGCCATTTATAAACCGATACAATCCTCAGGATTAACGGGTTTACAATTCCAACGTGCACAACCAGACCACCTTTTTTCTATCAGGGAGTTTTTAGGGTACCACAAAAACCATAGATAGATATTTGTTTTGCCAAGGTGGCAATAGTTGTACCCTGGTATTGAGTGTTGTTTTTCACTGTCCAAAAAGGCCTTTTGCAATCCATCTCACCAATTCAGCACTGCAGCCTGACGCTGCAATTATCCAGCTTCATTAAATGTTGGACTCTCTGCTCAAAATGACCACAGTTCCTATGGAAGTGTACTACATCGCATTCTCTGGCATGGAAAAATTCCAATTACACAGCAGAAGGAAACAAATAAACCCTCTGAACAAGCTGATGGACTATCGCCATTGCCAACAGTGGTGGTGGTCGCCATCCGTGCATCCACACTGCAGAAATAAACCAGTGTGACACCACTTTAACTAGCCATTATCCTATGAAACCCTGGGATCTGCAGTTTGGGGAGGCACCAGACCTCTCTGTCAGTTGAGATTGAACACTTTACCAAACTACAAATCCCAAAATTCCATAGCATCGAGGCACGGCAGTTTAAAGTGGTGTCAAACTGCATTATTTCTGCAGTGCAGATGCAGCCTCAAAATGCATCACTGCAGCTTTGCTGGCAGACCATGGGGGTCCTTTCTTGGCACCAACTGCCACCCAGCAAGCCCCCAGTTCAGCCTCCAGGATTTCCAGTTTGAAGGACCAGTTAGCAGGCGATGAGAGAGAGCCTTCCTTGCCTGAGACCCAGGAAAACTGCTGCAAGTCAGAGCAGACACTGGCCTAAATGCTGGCCTGGGACAGAGCAATTTTATACATTCCTTAGAAGCAGCTTCATTGTGATCACCAAAAACATGCAGCCAGCTTTGACCTTTATAAAATGGGATGGTATTGTTCTATTTCGGCTCGTGCCAAATGGAAAGTTAAATAGCAACAGCAGCACCATAACAGGAGTGCATTCTCCCAAGTATTGATTTTGCTGTAGTTCTTCGTCCGACTTTGTTCTTCGTTGGATGGTTTTGATTTGCAACTGGCAAACAACCATCAAAGCTGAATGGTGTGTGTGTGTGTGTGTGTGTGTGTGTGTGTGTGTGTGAAGTCAGGATAAGACCTAAAGAAGCCAAACCAAAGCCTTAAAACTGCCACCCTTAATGGCTCGCGCATCGTGAACCTTCAACTTGGATCTTTGCTGAAGCGACAGAAGAAAGCCAGCATTGTTTTCACTTCCTTTGCAAACTCGATTGATATTTCATGCAGCAGATTTTTGCAGGGGAAAAAAAACAAACAAACTTGGCAAGTTGCATTGACCTCCGATAATCAAGGTAAAAGGCAGAAAGAGAGAGAGTGAAGAGCAATTCCATATTGAAACAGCATTCCTTAAGCTATGAAGGGAAGGGGCCAGCAGAGGCCCAAGGCTATTTTTGAGGAAGGAAAAAGAGGCTGTAGACAGAGAAGACCTGTCGCTGTCGCTTGACAATTGAGATTGTTCCTCCATTGCATTCAAAGGACCAGACCCTCATTTGCTTCACATTTAATCAAGTCAAGAAAGTACGATCCTAGGCTCTCGTCCGGATAAAATTGGACTGATGCCTTGAACAAATGGGGAAAACCCCTCAACTTGTTTTTTAACCCCCGTTTGCCCCAGCCAGCTAGCTTAAATGCAGACACAACCGGAAACCAAAAGGGTAACTCATTCAGATTAGCTATTCTGGGGTATATAAATATGGTTTAATAAGGTGCCATCGAAATGGGCACAATATGTCATACAGAATGGGAGGGCAACTTTGCAGGAGGCTGCTGTTGTTGGAAGAAAAGGAAGCATGCAGAGAAGAAAATCTTTTAGAGCATCAAAATTTCTTGCCAAGACTTGACAAATATAAGCTACAAAGCCATGGGTTGGTATGGAAAACCATTGCAGTTTTAAAGGTTAATTAGTAGAAATGTTTGCATTGTATTGATTTTTCTCTTCTTCTTTTTATAGTTGTGCAGCACAACAGCTGTTTCTTGCACAAAACAAACTGTTTTCTGCAGAAAAACACCCTGTGTGAACTTTGCGAGGAATCAGCCCCAGATTTTGCAATTTTTGAAGAATTTCTCAGAGTGGGAAGAAAACAGTTAAAATGACTCATTGTTTCCATTGAGAAGAAAACCAGTGAAGAATCCCATCCCTAACACACTCACAGGCACACAAATGTCCATCTTGGAAGGATTTCAGAAGGATATAGGGAGTGGTCCTTTTCCATGGGCTTTGGGCCCATTATTCGCTCACTATCTCCTCCTCCCTACGCTCTCTCTGTAAACAAACCCAAGGAGTCCTTATGAGCAGATGTTATAATCCCAGATGTTATAATGCAGATGTTATAATCCCAGGAAAGAAAGTGACAATGCAGCGACCAGAAGGTTTGCTATCGATGGGGGCGGAGGAGCAAGAGACGCATCCCTGCTCAGTCTCTCCCTACAAATGCTAAGATATTACCCTTCCAACTAACCAGAGAAAGAGGCAAAAGGAAAGCCATAACAATCCTCACCCTTCCCATGAACATTTTCTTTTATTCTCCTGGTTTCTAGCACTCTAGCAGCTTAACATTTATTTCAGTTGAGCATTTTTTAGAAAGACAGTTTAGGCATCAGCAGAAAAAGGGCAAGGAAAGTGAACAAGGGAATGCAAACGCATTGAATATAAAGACTTCCAGGCACAAATGGTTTTAAGTAATGCAGTTTCTGCAATGCTGGTTGGTATTGTCACTAGCTGCAGCTGTTTTAATTGGTTCTAGATATCTAATTCTATTTTATTGTGCATTTGGTAGACTTAAGACTTATTTTGTGGCTGGGCCAGTGAGTTTCAGCTACTGGAAATGGAGGAGCACAGCTAAATAAAGGGACCAAAAGATGATTTATCCCAAGAGGGACTTTCATTGCAGGAGATGCTACTTACGGTCATCGTCCGTATGCAGCTTCGCCTTCAATTTCTCCATTTTCTTCTCATCCCGTAATAGCGTGCGATCTTTCTTCAGTGTCCCTGTGCTCTCCTCTTTCTTTTCTTCATTGCTCTCCTGGATTAAGGAGTATTCTTCATAGTTGGTTATTCCTAAAATGCAAAGCAGAGCAATCAATCCACCGCCCAAAGAGCAAAAACAGGTAAAAGAAGTTAAGCAACCCAATGGAAATGCTGCAACAAGAACCCGTTCACACGACACTATGATTCCACTTCAACTCCTATGGTTCCATCCTATTGCAATGTGGGATCTGAGGTTCAGGAATGGGTACTTAGAATTCTCAGTGAGGGAGAGAGATCTAGTGCCTCCTCAAACTACACATTCCAAAATCCCATGGGATGCAGCCCTGGCAGTGAAAGTGGAATCACAGTGCTATAATTCTGCAGTGTGAAAAGGACCCCAAACAAGTCAAATGCTTAAAACAGTGCCCCCTTATTGTTGTTGTTGTTGTGTGCCTTCAAATCGTTCCTGAATTATGGCAACCCTAAGGCAACCCTATCATGGGTTTTCTTGGCAAGATTTGTTCAGAGGAGGTTTGCCATTGCCTTCCATTGAGGCTGAGAGAGTGTGACTTCCCCAAAGTCACCCGGTGGGTTTCATGGTCAAGCTGGGAATCAAACCCTGGTCTCTGGAGTCATCATCCAGTGCTAAAACCACTATACGACTTGTGGTGACCCTAAGGCAAACCTATCCTGGGGTTTTCTTAGCAAGATTTGTTCAGAGGGGGTTTGCCTTTGCCTTCCCCTGAGGCTGAGAGCATGTGACTCTCCCAGGCACTTTAAAACACATACAGGCTTCACACATCATAGGACAGGGTGCCATCAGCTATTGGCTCCAAATGTCTTTCTTTCCTGGAAACTTGCAAAGCACCAGCAGACAATGGATGGAGGTGCAGCACTGAGACATAGACCACCCTAGACATAGCACTGCCATAGGAAACTCTAGCAGGGGCTGTATATACGTATATGCAAATACAGGTATATCAATATCCAAAAAAATCCAAAATCCAAAATCCAAAATGTTACGGCCCCTAAGCATTTTGGATAAGGAAGACGCAACCTGTATCAAAACGAATCCAACCACACAAAAAGCACACCTAAGTACTATTAACTGAACCTCATGTCATGCACAGGGAATTGAGAATAAAAACCAGCGCCTCATTGCTTTGAGGTCCGTTTTTGATCTTACCTATCCGGCTGCAAATGGTCACTAGCAATTCCCCAACGGTTTTAGAGTCATCCACCATCACTGTTTTCACCGACCCATCCAACATCCGTATCTTCTGAGGCCTTTGCTTCTTCTTGTATTCCAGAATATCCTAAGATGTCAAACCACAAGGATAGTTTATGGGACAGACAAACCGACAAACTCTCCTTAAAGGTTGCTGGGGTTCTGAAAATAACATATTAATTGGTTATAGTACATTTGTTATCTGGCCTTAGATCAAGGGTGGGCAATGGGGATGCTCAAATCCTGATATCCAATACCACCACTGGATAATATGGTGCGTGGCAATTTGCGGATGCTCAGATCTCGATACTGCTTTTGAATAATATGGGACATGGAGATTTGTGGATGCTCAAACCCTGATACCTGATACTGCTATTGGATAATATGGGGCATAGCAATCTATGGATGCTCAAATCCTGATACATGATACCACCATTGGATAATATGGGGCCCAGCAATTTGTGGATGCTCAAATCCAGGGGTAGGCAACCTTTCCCCTTTAAGGGCCGAGGGACTTCAGCTCCCAGAATCCCAGGAGCTATTGGCCAACATGGGACTATTGGCCAACATGGCTGAGGCTTCTGGGAGCTGAAGTCCCTTGGCCCTTAAAGGGGAAAGGTTGCCTACCCCTGCTCAAATCCCAATACCTGATACTGCCATTGGATAATATGGGGCACGGTAATCCGCGGATGCTGACATCCTGATACGGGGATGGGAAGTCCGTCAATACCAAGAGCACACTGTATTAATAAACTGCATTAATAAACAATTTCCAACAAAGACAATATTCCATTACATTAGGGTTGTAACATGACGAGGCTTAATGTCACTCCTTCTATAGTATGTCAGTAGCCTTTTAATTTAAAAACTGGAATATTAGCTATCAGTAACGTTCCAACTTGTGTTCTGAACCTGGGAACTCAAAACATGAAGAGCCCTTGATAAATCTCTCCTTCTCCATAAACCGGAGGAATGGCATGAGAGGCCATTTGGATTTTGGGTCTCACCCCGTTCCGCAGCATGTAATAATCCAGGGTCCTCCCAGCCTCCAGCCAGATCCCTTTCCGGGGGTCTTCATCGGAGAGAAATAACCCATAGTCAGAAGCTGAAAAAGAAAGGCAGAAGAGAAGGGAGGTAAGAGAAACCCCAGGACATGTATGACCGAACCTCAAGTCATGCACAGGGAATTGAGAATAAAATAAGAATAAAATTGAGAATAAAATAAGAGAAGGGATGTAAGCGAGACCCCAGAACATGTACGACTACCATGCCTAAGCTCCCACACCAAATGCTATTTCTCCATCCAACAATACAACCGCAAAGACACCTCTCCGACTCTCCCAAATCCCAACCCATGCCTTCCTCACTTCTGCCCTGCATCCGGAAAGGTTTTACACCTAAAATACTGTTTAATACTGTTTTAAGGGGGTGGGTTGGTCCTTTCTTTTGAAATATGTTTACGAGTTTTATTGTAAGCCGCTTGGATTGTCTGTCAATAAGCGGGATATAAATAAATTTTATTATTGTTATTATTATTATAAAACCACCACCGTCATTTATACTCTGCCTTTCCCCCAAAACTGAGACTCAAAGTGGCTTACAAATTAAAATGATTACACTATAATTAAAAACATAGGCAAACAGTCAAGCCTCAATGGTCTTAAGCTCAAATAAAGAAGCTTAAAGCATCTTAAACTTTTTTTTAAAAAAAAGGTCTTAAACAAGGGAATAAAGAACTCTAAAGAAAGGATTTCCAAAGCTTGAAGAAGAATGTGCTGCTTGAGCGTTGTGTAGTAATAATCGTTCCTTGGTTTTGCATCTTGATGGAAGCGACCAAACATGCAGAGAAGAAAATGGAAGGAGGGTGGGCCACTGGGAGGCCATAGGTCTGTGCCCCAGAGGGGACTGGGGCGCTGTCATCATTCATTGCTAATTAATGAAAGCTGCGCTGGAACGTAATGAAGCATCTAATGCAAAGCAGTTTAAAGCAAATGCCTTCACTCCATCAGTGCCCATCGCATTAAGCCACCAGTTCAGTGGAGGCATCGCATGGCTGCTTTGCAAGGAAAGGACTCCGCAGCCTGGGGCAGGAAGGCAAAAGTTAGCATTCAAGGGGTCCGGGGAGATTGTCCGGTCAAGGGTCCACGTCCGCACAGCCAACAAAACGCTCATCTCCTCTTGTGCTAATATTCAGGGGTATGCCCACCAACTTTTCACAGATGAAAACTGGACCACGCATGGCCAAGTAACATCAGAGTGCGGTCAAGGTGGCAAAAGTTATCAGTGAGGAATTTGGGAGTGGCTGCTGCAGTTTGCTTTTGCCTGAGCCTATTGGGAAAGGCAGGATTCTGCCTTCAAAATCCCTAATTTTGGCCCCCAAACCTGCCCTCGACTATCCATGAGGTCAACGTATAGTCAGTCAAGTATGAGAGCCAGTGTGGCATAGGGGTTTGAGCATTGAATCTGGAGACCAGGGTCCGATTTCCTGCTCGGCCATGACATCGACTGGGTGACAATGGGCATGTCACATGCTCTCAGCCTCAAACCTCATCTGAAGAAATCTTGCCCAGAAAACCCAATGATAGGTCTGCCTTAGGGGTCTCCATAAATCAGAAACTACCTGAAGGCACACAGCAACAACAACAACAAATGTGCAATAGATGTTCTCTGTAAACGGCATCCATCGGCAGATTGGTTGTAAGATTTTGGACCCGCTGAACAGTTTGCAAAGGCAGAGACAGACAGAGGGAACTACGGTAATCCAAATGGAATGTAATCCACAGAAATAAATTACTTTTCAATAGGAACCAATTACTTTTCAAAACCAATTTCCCAAGCTTTGCTGGAACCAATTACTTTGCAAAACTAATTTCCCAAGCTTGCAAGAACCAAGTACTTCTCAAACCTAATTTTCCAAGCTTTTGCTCCACCTCACGATTTCGGAAATCCAGTCCTGGGATGTGTCTACACCAACCTTGTCCCATTTGGGCCTCCGGCACTCGCTCCCGAATAACACGGCAAGCGTCGTAGACGGCCGTCGAGGGCTCGAACTGCATCGTCTTGACCACATTGCACTGCCGGACGCAGATCTTCAACGACAACGCCACCATGTTTGCCGGATCGCTTGCGGGCTTCGCTTTTACGTTATCTGGAGGGGAAACAGGACAAAACGTTGGAATGCTGCTGAAAAGAAACGTTAGCCCTGCTTTAAGTTACTGAATTGTTTAATGTCCTCTGAATCTGCTTCAGTTACTTGTATTGTTTGAATACAATTTAAAATTGCCATAAAGAAACATTGGACGGATTTACCTTCTACACTGTTCTGTGGTTTAGGACGTTAATTGTTTTGCTTAATTAGCAATTAAGGCTGCTTAATTACACTGCAGGGATGATGCACTGCAGAATTAATGCAGTTGGACATTACTTTAAATGTCATGGTCCCATCCTATGGAATCCTGGGATTTGTAGTTTGCTGTGACACCAGAGGTCTCTGACAGAGAAGGCTAAATATTTCACCAAGTTACAAATCCCAGAAATCCGTAGCATGGAGCCATGGCAGCTAAAGCGGTGTCAAAGTGCATTTAATTCTTCAGTGTAGATGCAACCTAAGACATGCATTCCTGAATCTTGTTGGTTTGTGCCAATTACAGCAGAGCCCTTGAGCCTCAACATGTTGGTCAATCCCCTTGAATCAAAGGGTCAACTCCAGTTGAGACTAACGCCTTCGCCTTGGCCATAGGAGACAGCGAGTGGCTTCTAGGTCAATAGGGCAGTGAATACATTTTGGGTCTTAGCACAGATGCTAAATTGGGGGTTGTGAAAGTGTGGGGCCAGCTGGCTTCATCCAACCCCAGAGTTGTCTCTGTGGCCCTCTTGGGCTCAATTTTTTGTTTGCATTCCCCGCACCAAATTTTTGCAAATTAAAAGGCTGTACAAGTGCGTAAACTCATCTTGTAACACTCCATATCCACAGCTTCTGCATCCACAGATTCAACCAACCAGAGTTCAAAAATATTAACCAAAAAAAATCCCACAAAGCAAACCTTGATTTTGCCATTTTTTAAAAAAATATAAGGGGCACCATGTTACTACCATTACAATATCATATACACAGCCTAAAATGTACAATCGACGCTCCATATCCACGGATTCTTTATCCACGGATTCAAGCATCCATGACTTTAAAATATTCAAAAAACATGTAAGTTCCTACAAGCAAATCTAGATTTGGCCATTTTATATGAGGGACACCATTTCACTATGCTATTGTATTTAATGGGACTTCAGCATCCATTTTGGTATCCATGGGGGTCCTGGAACCGAATTCTAGTAGATACCAAGGGCCCAGTATACAATTTTGTGCAAATGTATTTGGACTGGGTTTTTTCTGAGGAGGGGAAGGAATTGCAGTCGTCCTCCGTTCTGGCAGACTTTAAGTCCG